AAAATATGACAATGGGACATCATTCTAATGTGTCTATCTACTATTGTCCTATTTCAAAATGTGACAATGAGATATTTATGCACTATTGTTTTATTAAACTTTAATCAGATGTATCATTCTTAAAATATGATAATGAGACATCATTCTAATATGTACATTATTGTCTTACTGTGTTTTCAAATGTTAGTACACTTCATTTGAAAGATTTTAATGTGAAATAGGATTTATGAATTCATTAGAATATTTATGGAACTAAATAGTTCATAAATTATGAAAATAAGATTTACTAATAAATGCCCCTTATTATTATTTTTGGCTGCTCTAAGAGGCAACTTGTTCATTTTCGTGTGGAGATTAAAATATATATTTAACTAATTAAAATTATTTGTAGGTGGATGAGAAATTAACTGCAAAATAAGCTGTTTAGCAGGGGAGTCATGGGCCCAATGGGCCACCAACCAACCTTATTTTTAAGGGTTTAAAAAAAAAACTTAGGCCATAAAATTGAGTTGGACTCAAATTTTGAGCCCATTTAATTTTTGGGCTTGGTTTGGGATATAAAATTTTAACCTGGCCTAGCTTAATCCGTCCATTTTTAAAGTTTTAATTTTAATTTTTATATTATTTAGTTACTTTTTTTGGATAATTTATATTATTTAGTTACAAAATACTTTAGGAAAACAATAAAAAAATAAATAAAAGTACATATATATATATATTTATTTCTAGAGTTTAAATTAAAATATTTCTTAAAATATCATGTTTATTTTACAATTAAATTTTGTTAATGTTCCATATTCAAATAATTATTAAAATGGTTAAAATAATTTAATAGTCTTTTAAGATGAAAAAATATATAAAATTAATAGTTCATATCTATTAAGTTAAGTGGGTGGACTTGGAATTTAGACATTTTTTTAAGCTTAGAATTGGAATGGTTAGGTTAGGCTTGATGTCGAGTTAAGCTAAATTTAAAATGACACATAGGCCTCGTTTGGGAAGTGGCTATTTTAATAGCCTATTTGACTTTTTGACTATTTTAGTAAGCTATTTTAGTTTTTGTGTTTGGGAAGTTGAGATGAATTTTATTTGAGTTGTTGTATTGAAAAATGTGTTGAAATGATGTTTGAAATTAGAATGACAAATTTGTCCCTAAAAATATATTTTTTTAAATTGTTGTCAAGGGATAAAACCGTAATTTACCATTGATGGAACAAATTTTGTAGCTGACAGTGTAGGCAAAGCCTACACTGCCGCTGTGCAGTCCTATTTTTATTTTTTTATTTTATTTTTTTTTTTTGAAAAAGCTTGCAAAAGTGGCTTTTTGGCTAAAAAATTTTTTTAGACTATAATAACCGCCCAAACCACTTCCCAAACAGCCCCATACACTCTTACTATATAGTGTCAATCTAGCCTGAACCCAATCCAACCTAATATTTGTCTAACCCTGCTATTTAGAAAAGGTCCATGTTAGTGGGTTTCCTTTCAAATTGGTGTGTTTATCTTGTCCCATAAAGGAAAGAAGAAGAAAGTTAGAATGGCATATATATAGAACTGCAAATGATAGAATCGTTTGTGAACCGTATTGCATTCGGTCCTGTACGAGTCCGTTTGAATTCAGTTTGATAAATTTTTTTAGTGTTCGAGCTCAAATTCGTTAAATTTTTAATAAATAAGTCCAAACATTTTAAAACTCAGCTCGTTAACTAGTTTGTTTAATATTTATTATTTATATATTAAATAATGTCAAAATATGTATAAAAAATAAGATAAATATGTTTTATATATTTTAAATATATAAATATAAATAATAAAATAGTTACGTGTAGGTCCTAATAAGTGAACCTATTGTCTAATAGGTCCTACAAAAAAATTTGTCATAAAAAAAAGTCACTAATTGTCAATTTTTAACGACGCATGTAAAAAATTGTCACAAAAAAATTATTTTTAGCGACAATTTTATCAAGACTTATTTTCAATAAAACTTGTTGGGAATTTAGTCCAATTATTAAGACCTATTGGTAGTTTACGCTAATAGGTTAACTATAGATAGTATATTTGTATAATAGTGATGGTAGATATTATTATTTTGATAAAATATTAACTTTTTTTAGTATGTTTATATATATTATATATATAATTGTATAATCAAAATTTTAATTGTAACTTTAATCTCATATGCAAATATAAATTTATAATTTTTTTGATTCGTTAAGACTCATGAACAGGCTCGAGCTTGAGTCAAGTCTGAGTCAACTCAATTCGAATTTGATTCGCTAAATTTTTATTGAGCTCAGACTCATTAAAATCTTAATAAATAAAGCCAAATACAAAACTCGACTCAACTCCTGCCGACTTGTAGCCCTACATATATATGACAACTTGCCATGTTTAGAGGAAGGCTTGTCCTAAATGGCATCCAAGTTTTGTGGAGAAGGGAGAACCTAGCCAAATATGATTAACCGCATCCATGTACTTATTTTATTGTAGTTTTGATTAAATATAAATATTTTTTTGGGAAAAAAAAAAGAAGCCCTCTAGAATTTATTTTCATTTCTGAAGAGAGGTGACTATTCTGTTCAAACTGGAAGTCACCATTTGCAAACTTTCACCATAGTTGAAGAGTTTCAACCTCTTCTGAACAGACTTTTCATTACCTACATAAAGGTAATCATCCTCCATTTCAATTCATTCGATTTTTGATAGACGATGATCTATTCACCTCAAGCTCTTCTATAGGACTGTCCTGAAATCACATTCAAAAGCAAAATATGTTTAGTTTTTAGTTTTCAAAAATATTTTTTATGAGAATACTGATCTTTACTTACAATAATAAGAAACATAAAAATGTATGCATTCAATCGAGAAACTTCCATTTCTTGCCTAAGCTTGAAACTTTTGACAAAAGCATGAATTATACAAAAGATAACTTACCGAAACAGAATAAAAGGAAAAACAAAATAACAAAAAGATAAGGTATTGAACTAAACTAATGCTATATATACCAATTAGTGCACTAACTAGTGTACTAATTGATGATGTGACATAATTTAAAATGTTTTTGATATTTGTAATTTGTATAATGAATGAAATCAATAGTTATCGGTACACTAATTGGTGCACCACTCATTGAACTATAATTGACAACACTACTAAAAATCATCCCCACCAAAAATATCATTCCCACTAAGCATGCACTCCATCAAACATAAAACCCTAATGTTGCGTTTGGTTGGGGGATTTAAGGAGAGATTTGGAAAGGGAAATAGAAAAGGTAAGTGAAATATGAATAAAACATACATATATTTCACTTAGTTTCACACACATTTTCCATTTCCTTTTTCAAATTTCTCTCCAAATCCTCCAATCAAACACAGCGTAAGGCACCAAACAAAACCACTAGTGGCAAATGAACAAAAAAAAAACCAGAAACAATATTCATATCAACAATGAAACATCCAGTCTTGATAAAATCCGTAGTGAAGAGAAACTCCCATTCTAATTTAAATTTAAAAACCTTTAAAACAAACAATAGCTCGATTAGTAACCAAGACAAAGCTTTTATACATTTATTTCAAGTCTCACCAGTCAACACTTTTTCTCTGGATAAAAAGTTGAGTTGGGCAATTTGGGTCTGGACTCCTAGTTAGGAAAAAAATGAAACACAAAATCCATAAAACCTATAGCCAAATTGAATCTCAATCATCATTAATTAAACCACAAAAAGTCCACCAAAATAAAACAATTTAATTTAACTGTAAAAAATTACATGAGTTCAACCATTCATATATATGTATAAACACATATACACCAGTCTATAGATACATATATATATACATATATTTATATATAACAGAGAAGAAGAAGTTACCTTAAGATGTGAAGAAAGATAAAGTCAACACCTTTACCAATGATAGATTTGGGGAGAATCAGAGTTGTTCGTCATTGACACAAATGTTTAAAATGATATAACTAAAAATCTCTATATCACCCAAACATCCATAAATTCCAAAATTGAAATCATAACCACAAGTGCCAGTCAATCGAACAAACTAATCGCATACATATCCAAACAGTTTCAGAATCAAAATCAAGTAAAAACAAATGAGATCAAATGCAAATCAAAATGTCTACTGTGTAGCCATGGAAAACTCCTTATCTAAAGCCATTACAAAAAGTTTAAATCGAAAACCCCATGAGAGCAATTTATAACCATAACTCGATGAATAACAAAAACCCAAATCCACGAAGATCCAAACAAGATCGAACAAATAAGGTCAAAAGACAAACGATTAAGATCAGAATCAACGACAACCACTGAAATTGAAGGAAATCTGTTTCATAGCACCTTAGGTGTGATATGGCATTCGAGAAATGCTTTGGAAAGTGGACCTACAACTGCGTCTTTCAGAACACCTCAAACACCATAATAAGCAGTTTTTCTTGTAGTGAAACTCTAGTTAAATTTTATGACAAACTCTTGTTTTTTGATTAATCTGCGACTATATAATATTTCCTGAACTAACATGACAAAATTATTTAAGCATATTATTGATAATGGATTAGAAGAATATTGCCTAACTGAATTTGAAAATCAACAAGATTCAACCAATAATTAACTGTTGAATCCATATTATGGTAATTATTCAATGTTATCAAATTATCAACTTAGTATATTGATGTAACGTTTTCAAACCGATAAAAGCTTTAGTAATAAGATAGTGGAAGCAATCTGATCCATTTTGATTCGTTAATGGGTAGGACCAAGATCAATCCTACTCATTATTTATTTATTTTTAAGTAGTTTTATTAATCAAGAGTACCACGTTATCACAAATGCTCTGAAATTATTGAAATTTTTTCCATATGACTACTGATTTGTTAAGATGCACTTCATGCGTTAACAGTGAATAGCATGAAATGGCCATCAATAAAACCCAATCATGTGAAAATAAGTAACAACCATTCACATGAACAAGTAGGTCTAAACATCCAACACATTCAAAGACAAAAAATATATATATTTCTTAGGAAATGTGTCTGTGTATTAGATACATATAATCTCCAAACAAGAACTACAGTACACGGGCCATTCTCCAATCCAAAAACAAAATCGAAGATCAAAACAATAAAACAATGTGTTATATATGTAAACTAACATACAGTAATAACATAATGAGAGGATCACTTGGGGGCTTGAGAAAGGAAAATGAAGATGACAGCGGCCACCACAGGGAAGAGGAGGAGCACGTACAATGGCGGGGGGCCCAACGGCCCCGGACCCATCCCCAAAGGAAGAAAGATGAGGCAAACCGCCACCACCAGTATCAACGTCACTTGTTCGACTCCGCATCCATGCTGCTCTCCCCTCCTACTCATTTTCCCACCCCCTACTCTTCTTTGTATCTAGTTTGGAACTCGAAAACAAACGTGCGGTTGTCCGACAACGGTTTTGTTATGTGGATTGGTCGGACAAGTCGTACTACGTTGTACCAGATATGATGGGCCAATGATTGTGGACATGTATATATAGTGGTGATGAGGTGCTTGTCCCCTTGGCTAAACGACACAACGGTTCGATTTTTAGGGACGCCATATTTTCAAAACGCCGGAGTTTTCGAAACGCATCCGGATCCTCTACAGTCCTCTCTCTGTAGTTCTTCATAGAGTTCCTAAAAACGGCGCGGTTTTTTTTTTTAAAAAAAAAATGTATAAAAAATTGTGAGAGATGAGTTAAAAAGCTGATTTTTGATTTAACTAGTTTCAAAGGAGGCCAGAAAATTTGAAAACTCAAAAAAAAAATGAAAAACAGAGCAGAAAAACGTGAAACAAAGCAATAGGAGAAACGAAGAGAAAGAGAGGGGGAGACCGAGCACCAGCGAGCAGAATCAAAACCTTAGTTTTTCAAAGCCCCAAATCAAAGCCGTAATTTTTTAATTTCAAACCGAGTTTCTCAATTAAAACCCCAACTTTTCAATCCAGATTTGAAATTAGATTTGAGAGTTTGGAGGACGAACCTGGTTCAATCTATGGCGTGGGGAGTTCCGGTGGACAACAATGGGTGAGGACGGACGTTCTTCTCAAGAGATTTCTTCTTCTCTCTTGGTTTTGTTCCGGCGAACAACAATGGCAGATGACGGTGGAGGACGATGAACAACAGAGGACGGTGCTCGACGGTCCTGCTGCGTCTCCCCTCTCTCTCTCTCCCCGCTTTTTACTCTCCGGCTTTGTTTCACGGCTCATTCTATTTACACACCACTTTCCCTCTCAAAACAAACCATTAATTAATTTATTTTTTATTACAATTTTAACTTTAAAGGAAATGACTATAAAGGACAAGTTAGATACACTTCATTTATGTATTTACCATAAAGGACAAAAATCAATATAATATAAATCATCAATTTCAAACTTGTTCCTTACGTATCTTCTCTGTCAAGAATCCAAAAACCCTAAAACCAAAATCACAAACCCCTCAACAAATAATCAAAAATATAATATTATTGAAGATTTTAATTGAATTTAATGAAAGATGCATCTGACAATTCTTATTCGAAACAATGGAGCAATGAATTTTTTTTTTTTTTTCGTCTTCGTTTTCGTTTATGAGTGGTAAATCGTTGTTCGGTTAACCAGAGGTGAATGATATATCATTGTTGGACAAACTACAATCGAACAAATTACATTTGTTCAACAAACTACAATCGAACAACTTATATCTGTTCAACAGACTACAATCGAACAAATTACATCTGTTCAACAGACTACAATCGAACAAATTACATCTGTTCAACAGACTACAATCGAACAAATTACATCTGTTCAACAGACTACAATCGAACAAATTACATCTGTTCAACAGA